TATATATATATATATATGCGTATGTGTGTGTATTATATATAGATATAGAATATTACATATAATATATATAATATTCTCTTTTTTACCTTTTTCCCTGTCACAAGACTTTAGTGTTGTTTTTCCACTTCTCTCTCTCACTATTTTTTGAGTTTGATTTTCATGCGTTATTTCTGACATTTCTCATATGTGTATTATATGGTTTATAAGACGTATATACTATCTGTCATCGCGGTGACAGGTTGTGTTCACTGACAACACGTCAAATAAAAATAACAATAGCGTGCGCGTAGCGCGCGCCTGTGTTGTGCTAGTTAACATCAAATAGTGACAAGACAACTCAGTAATTGGTTTGCTGAAGCTATTGTCCATCTTGAATATCGATATATTTCGATATATATCGATGTATCGATATATATTTCGATGTATTACCGGCTAATCTCTATTATTACATAAGTGCGTTGTATGCGACACGACGTGTGTGTAAGTACGTTGTATTTTTTTAAAGACTGATCGAAAAAGTTCTGTTCTGCATGACGACTGTTTCAAACGACCCTTGCAAACCATTGGCATGTAAATTACAGAAGTGTCTGCAAGGTTTGTACAGTTTAATATTTATCGAGTTTTTTCCCTTGAATATATCCTTTCTAACCTCTTGTCTCGAGAAAGAAATATTAACAGCAGTCACGCACATAGGTACGTAAGTTTAAAAATGAAAAACAATTTGTGGAAAAAAATTTTTATTTTTAGACAACGTATTCCAGCCTTCCCGTTGTCAAGATATACTCGAAGATATAAGAAAGTGTTGCGTGAAACACTCGGAGGTTTCCACAGTCTGCGACGGCATAAATACTTCTAAGCAATACGAACATAATACTGTCGACTATGTGAGTCCATTAGTCGCTTTATTTAGATGAATATAACTTTGATTAAATTACATTAATCATATCAGTAACTCTAGAACTTGCTAAAACTCAAGTATTTGAATACTTTGGTTTTTAGAAGAAGGCCTTAAAATAAAGGATGCAAAACGAAGTGAGAGAACATATGAGAAGAAGTCTCCCAAAGAGAGGATTTGTAGAACGTCATCCACGATTCGTTATTTTAAGTGGTGTGACATTTTTCACATGTATAATGTTTAGTAAACCTATTTATGACATATGTTTTTCAAGCTCTAAATCAGAAAAAAAGAAAATCGAAGTAAAACCTGCAGAAATAAATAACAAAGCTGAAGCTTAGTCGATGTATTGTGTCTAAGAATGGAAGCTGCGAAAAAAGCGAAAGAGAGGTTAAAGCAATATCCTGGTTTGATAGCTCAATGCCATGAAGCTGCATCAAAGTATGCATCTTGTGTGATGGCAAAATCAAATTTAGAAAAGAATGATTGTGCGGCTGAATTCAATGAATTGAAGAAATGTCTTGTTAAAGCTGCTGCAAGTAGGAATACTAGATTATAAACAAAAGTAAGGAGTAATTACTGTGTGTTTGATTTGACGCCTCACCTTTAATTGTACAAAAAAAAAAAAAAAAATGACCAACGCAATACGATTCAAACTAAGTAACTTGTCGTTCGCATCGCATTGTTTTTTGGCATTTGTGATACGATTAATTCTGATATTGTACGCTAATCTTCACGACAAATATTTCGCCGTTCCGTACACGGATGTGGACTACAAAGTGTTCACGGATGCTGCCAGACACGTGGTTGAAGGACGATCACCGTTCGAGCGTCATACATACCGTTATTCACCGTTTCTTGCTTGGCTCCTGACACCTAATGTCGTGTTACACAAGGACTTCGGAAAGGTGTTGTTTTCCGGAATAGATGTTCTAATAGCATTGCTAATTAGAAATATCCTTACGCGACAGAAGTGTAACGAGACTGTTAAATATTTCTGTGCGCTTCTATGGCTTTATAATCCATTAACGTTGATAATTACAACTAGAGGTAACGCGGACTCGTTAGCGGTATTCTTGGTCACATTCACGTTGGACTTGTTGCAAAGAGATGAAGTTGTATTGTGCGGATTAATGCACGGATTATCTATACATTTTAGATTGTATCCGCTGATGTTTAGTCTACCCATGTTCTTGTCTCTGTGTGAAAATAATCGATTTCTACCGAATAAAAACCAGTGGAAACTCGTATTGAGTTGCACACTTTCGATTGTTATACTGACAACAACTGGTTATTATCTGTACGGTTTCACATTTTTGTACGAGAGCGTTTTGTATCATTTGGTGCGTCAGGATACGAGGCACAATTTTTCTGTATATTTTTACATGCTTTATCTGTCAGCTGATCAATCTCAAAATGTAATTCAGAAGATTCTCATGTTTCTGCCGCGAGTGTTTCTACTGTTACTTACCTCGTATTTTTACTCGGAAAAGTCCAAGTTACCGTTCGCCATGTTCGTCCAAACGATGATCGCCGTCATGTACAATTCGGTGATAACGTCCCAGTATTTCTTCTGGTTTTTGTCACTGTTACCTCTGTGTTTGCCGAACTTGAAAACAAGTTTACGTAGATGCGTGTGTTTAACGTGTTCTTGGATTTTGAGTCAAGGTATTTGGTTGTTAACTGCTTACGTGCTAGAATTCCAAGGTATCAATTCGTTTACTTGTCTGTGGTTATCTGGTCTTTTATTGTTTGCTGTTAACGTGAACATCTTAGTAAATATCATTTATATGTTTCGAGATTAGATATTGGCAATGCTAATCTTTAATTGTTAGTTAATGCGCGTCATTGTTGTTTAACGTCTTAGTAAACATCTTAGTAAACAATCATTTGCATGTTTTGAAATTAGATATATTGGCAAAGAAAAATTCAATTAAGCAATTTATTAACTTTTATGATTAAGCATTTAATTTTTAACAAACTGTTATTTTATATAAAACTTTAACATTGCAATTCAAACATCTTTGTTTACTTATTACATCTTTACATATTTTTAATAATTATTACATAATGTATTATACACACATGTACTTGTAAGACAACGGTTTGACACACATCCTGTACTGTTTATTCTGAGAGAATATCTAGGATAAAAGTAGATATATATATATATATCTAATATATATGATCGATTTTGTTCAAAAAACTTGAATTTATTTAAATTTTAATAAAAAAGCACATATTATCTACAAGTCTGATTATTTATAATGTATCACTTTCATATTAGTCTACTTATATCGGCGGTAAAAATATCAGACGAGTTATATAATGATTCTTAATTTTATTCTTTTTTTTTTTTGCAGGAATACAAAATACTTATTTACAGATAGCTTCGTAAAGTAATAGTGGTAGATTCTGGAAAAGGAATGTAGATATATTAGTAATAATACAATAATCGTAAATCTTACTATAGTAATCTAGATTAACTGTGAGCAAGAGCATCTCTTGGATCATCTTCCGAGATATATTTTTTTTTTTTTTTTTTTTTTTCATCGATTCGATTGTTCTAAGCTGCTAAATATTACGACAGTAATATTATTGGGTCATTTCTTGTCGATCTGCGTGAGAGTGTATGTATGTATGTGTGTGTAAAATTTTAGTAGATTAGATAAAAATAACAAATTTTTTGAAAGTTTTTATCGTAAATTCTTTTTACATTAACTGAACAGATATATATTTGCTAATTTGTAAAAATAACATAATTTCCCATGTGTGTGTTTACAACTATGTTTGATTCATAAGGGATGTCGGATCTTTGTATACCACAGAAATGTGTACTTTTCGGCGAGATCTTTCGACGACACGAAATGGCCCAATGGACAACACGAGTCGAAAAACTGAAATAGAGTTTTGTTCTCATATAACTACGGGTCTTTTTTTCTTACGGCGGATGATGATGATGATGATGATGAAGTGCAACATATAAAAATAGCATTATTTTCTTTCATTGCTTTCATTACAGTTTGCTCAACTGTGTGCTATATGAAGTAATCTATTTTTTTATTTATTTCTCTTTCTCTCTCTCTCTCTCTCTCTCTCTCTCTCTCTCTCTTTCTCTCTTGAAATGGATACACACACTTGATCTTCGTCAAACGCTCTTTACGCGACGCGTTTGCACGGAAATCAATCGGATAACATCGAGGTATAGTTCCGGGTCGCGCATAGAAGGAAAGGAGGGAAGGAATAAAAGTATAAGCTATCGCGGTCGAAGCGATTGAAATTATAAATAAGTTTCACGTTTTGACGCCGGCGCGACCCGGAAGTTACGTCGAGAGGGAACGCTTCACATATTATTCATAAATCAATTCTCGTTTCTTCGCTAAGCCCTTCCCTGAAAAATCATCGTCGATATACATATAGTATACATATACATATAGTATACATATATATAAAAAAAAGAATCTTACGATCACACGAAAAATGTAGAAGACTTAGGCAGAGATGCGGCAACGAAAGTCTTTTTCGAGGCACATGTATGGAAAGTGCTAATTCACTGTTCATGTATATATGTGTATATGTGTGTAACAATCAAAAAATTTTCCTTTGCGTGCTATTTAAAACCAAAACGAGAAGTGTAGCAAAAATGATCTCCACACAAACTCTCATTTCTCTCTTTACACTTTTCAGAGATCGAAAACAATCACGTGGTTGCAATTTTCTCTTTGAACATTTTCGCGGAATACATCTCGCGCAGTGTTTTTGTTGAAATACTTCAATTGGGATTTGAAAAATTGATCAAAGTAATTGTGATACTATAAAATAAATTAAAATGCGTCTCGTAAATATTTTTTGTTTTTTTTTATTATTAGAATTGAATCAGATAGTAATCGTTATAATTTAAATTGTTTTATCTACTGAATAAACTTTTTCTCTTATCTCTCGTTTTCAATGATCTTACTATTTATTACCGTTGTTTATTTCATTGTTTATTTTACGAGGTGTTACACACCTCGTGTGTTTTTAGTGTCACAATTACTCTGCTTGACCTTATGTACCGATATACTAAATAGAATATAGGTGCACTGATGCATATGATAATGTGTCCTTTTACATTTAAGAAACATGACTGGTTTGGAGTCGCTCTTAGCATTTTCTTTTGCAACGATGCAACGTTCGGTCGCACAAAGATTACCTTGTTTCTCGTCCCGACCTTGTACAAAATGAGAAACATACACCACATTACGCGGAAGCGAGATACGATGTAATTTCCAATATATCGACGCATCGATAATTATGCGCGAGAGATAAAGGAGCATAAAAAAAAAATAGCACGCTGCAATATATACGAGGTATGAGTTAAGAAAAAAAAAATACGCTACAAGAACGTAAAGAAATATCAGAGCACTACAAGAGCTTTATGTGTGGTATATAAACGTTATGGCAAATATTTAATATAAAATATAATAACACATCAGAGCGATATGTATATGTACATGTTACACATTCTATAGAAAACATAAAATAAACGGCATTAATATTTGCGTATAACGATATAAGTACAGATATAAATGAACTATAAATAATATAATATAAAATTATCATTACAATCGTTTTGGGCACAAAACTCTATGTGCGATCCAACATAAAAAATATACATTATCGTAAATATATATATATATATATTGCATACATAATATATTGCTCAAGCTGTAAAATTATATTCCTAAAAGAAACTTGCGTTTAACGCACAAGTGTTAAGATATTACATTTCCAAAATGTGATTGATGAAACAAATTCTACTTTTCGCGATGCACGCAGTTTGAAGAGAAATAATAAATTGAATAATACATTTGAAAAATATAACATGAGAGTATATATAGAAAAGCGTTCCATCAATCTCATTCGGAGATACAACACGTCTGAGAGAGTGTAATATGTACGTAACGACGTAATATATTATTAAAAATAATTAAAGCACTCACGGTGTGAACGTGCACACAAATTATGCGATCACGTACAATTGCGTAACTGAAATAATACACATTTATGTAACATAAAATAAATCTCTTTGGCTTTTTGTTTTTTGCATGATTGAAGATAAATGCGCTCCGCAAATGTATATTCGTCATGATTGTGTGTATCAGAAATTGCGTATCACGATTTGCTTCTCGATTAATATAATTCCTTTTGCGAAGTTAAAAGTTTTTTTTTTTGTTTTTTTGTTTTTGACTTTTCGCGCAGAAAAAGTCGGGATTGCAAGTTAGATTGCACGTTACTCATCACAAAACGTATTTTATTTCAAACACGCGAACGCTTTTTTCAAGCGTTGTATTAAATTTTTATTAGAAGTTTATTTGAAATTAAGTGAAAGATATTGGAAAAATTCCGCTTTCTGTTCGCGCGCTTTCGAAAAAAAAAGAGAGCTTGATTGTGTTAAAAAATCCCTGTGTGTAACAGGATTTCTTTATAAGTTACGTATTTACATCGTTGCAAACGTCGTGCTTTCGTCCTCACTCGTGTGTAAAAACGGATCGATCAAATAGAACTCTTTTGTCACGGTGAAATGATGTAACTAGATGAGTTGGGGATGGGTGGGTGGATGGGTGAGTGGGTGATATCTCTACCGACGCTACTACTGTGCGAGAGAACATTGAAAATCGAAAGTAATAGGTCATAACACTCTTTTGTACTTACACTCTTACGATAATATCGATAATGCGTGTGTGGGATAAAAGTGCGATTATACGCGGCCTCGATCGGATTCTCGATGCCTCGCTACGGTAAAAACGAATGAAAAAACATGACGTTACAGCTAGCTATTATTGGGATGAAGAATTATTGGCACACTGTCATATCGAAATAGATTGACCACTTTGCGTTGTAATAAAGTTTTCTCAGACTCACTCACGCACTTTTACGGGGAGTTTTTGCAACATCGTTCTGTGAAACACTCGCGGAATGGAGATCCCGCCCCGAAGTCCTACCCCCGCCTATACACGGTAATTACGAGTTGTCATGGCAATTTTTATCTTAATGCTTACATTATTATTTACTGTACACATGCGATGTTGATATTAGCGTTTAAAGCCGGTGTAGTTTCGCTCGCGGCTCGTATCTCGATATTTTATCTCGCGGAAATTAAACTCACCGAAAATCCACCGGCTTCAATCTTCGCGTTCGCGAACGCGTATCGGAAACACGCTATTGCAAAAAGTCCTCTCTTCTCTGCCTTTCACACTGACGCGCGCTCTATGTGTCTCACTCGTTCTCTTAATTCTCTCGATCACTCAGGGTTTTTGTTTTGTTGGTTTTTTTTTCTTTTTTGTTTTCTTTTAACGGAAGATCTTGTGCGTGAACATCTGCGTGTAATCTCTCTGTCTTGGCGTCTCTCTTTATATGCCTGATCATTTGCGTTTTTTTTTTCTTTTTTTTTTTTTTTTAATGCTACAGGTACATGCGAGGAATTCGGAATTCAATCTTAATTTAATCGATAGCGGTAAAACTGCAATCGAGGTTCTCTGCGATATACGAACGAGTAATGGACGCGATATGTTACATATGTTCGGGCGTGTTGCGACTGACGTACTTTTAATTGAATGCACGTCATTTCAAAAATGAAATTTATTTTCGCGTTAAACGTGGAAATCTCGCGATTTGATTTAAAGATTTTCGGCGGAAAATTCGGTATTCCAGAACGTTTAAGTTACGATTATCCCTAGCACGCGCATTTACATTTCGGATCGAATCGTGTTTTTACAAATTTGTGCGATATTTATATATATCATTGCGCGTTTTCCGACGCGGTAAACGTGGTCGAGACCGGACCAGGTCAACTCTAAGTTCGATATAAAAAACAAGAACAAGGTGACTAATTGTAACTTTTACTATCGACATGTATCTTTTCCTCTCTTTCATTCTCTCTCTCTCTCTCTCTCTCTCTCTCTCTCTCTCTCTCTCTATCATGTAATTCGGAGAGTAAAAACAGTCAAATCGCAAGTTAGTTAATTAATTATTAGCTACATCAGTTCAGAAAGTGTACAGTAGTTTGCGGAATTCTTTTGATTCAGAAGAATGATCGCGACACATTTCTAATAAAAAGATCTTTTACGTTAAGATAATGAAAAGAGTTATGAGTTATCACACGAATATATGTTTCTCTTTGTTTGCGACGAAATTCTGTCTTGTTTAAAATTATTGATTGCCATCGGTAACTCTCTCTCTCTCTCTTTCTCTCTCTCGATATCGTATTATTATTCTACAAGAAATATATCATTACGATATAAGCGTTGAATAAGTAGATAGATATGTTTCACGATTTAAGTTATTAACGTAGTGCGAATGTGTTTGCGGTGTCTGTTTGAAGTACAAAGATTCTTTTGCACACACGAGTATTCATCTAATTGTTCGATTTGCGCAGTTTTACGTTAAATGTTGTTTGTCGCGAGAAACTCTCGGTGTTTTTCATTGGTTCAATTTCTCCCGATGCGATTTGTGACTCGGTCATTTAATCTATTTGTCAAAAGCCTTCGCACAAAGAGTAATGCCGAATGAAACGAGAGTAACAAAGATATGCATCCTGAGTCGTCCCGAGTAACGAGAGAGTTGTCAGTTTCTAATGTATTATAAAATGCAATCAGTTGCGCGTGATCAAACGCGTGATCAAACTCGGAGAGAGAGTTGATTCGCTTTGAAAAATGATCAGAACATTCCGTACACACGGAAGGAAGATACGTACGTAACACAGACTTTTTGCATATCCGGCATATACAGGATGTTTCAGATCACCCGTACATCCCATTTAAAAACGAGAGGAGTGGTTATTTTAAAAAATGTTTCAGACAAAAGTTGTTGGTAATAATGCATTACTTGATCACTAACAACTTTTGTCTGAAACATTTTTTAAAATAATCACTTCCCTCGTTTTTAAATCAGATGTACGGGTGATCTGAAACACCCTGTATATGTACGCTCTTAATTCTCCGCTTTTTCTTCCTCTTTATTTGTGTGACGGCGATTGTGTGAGAATATCGCGGAAGAAATTTAGATCGGTTTTGTATTCCGGAAAAAGAATCTTTTTTCTCTTGTCGCTTGAAAAAAAAAAAAAAAAAAAAAAAGCGTTTCTCTCGTAATAATTGAGCGATTATTCTGTAAATCGAGAAAAAAATTCCACGACTTTCAAAACGATCGGCTAAATTCGTCTCGTCGCGAAACACGTCCCGATGTCGAAAAAGCACGCGACGGCACGTTCGGATTGATTTCTTTCTTTTTTTTTTTTTCGCGTAGATAGACGCGCGTACGGTTTTCTACATACAGTTCTGAGAAAAAGCTTAACATCGAGAAAAATATGGGGGTATATATATATATTATATACATATATATCTCCTATGTGTCGTTCAGTCGAATTTGAAATAGATTTATTCATGTGTTAATATTCCGTTGCCACATAAATTACGCAGCTCGCGGTAGCACGTAAAGAGAACGCTCATTCTCTAAAAAGTCACTTTCCCTATTCACGAATTTTAGCCGACTCGGTCGAATTTAATGCTCGCGATTATACGAAGGGTAAGGGGAAGAAAATCGGATCCAGAAAGGCATATACTACTCGCTACACCACGTTCGGTTCAATGTAATTTTTTAATTAACCCTTTAACGCTCGTGCGTTTATACATTCAATTTGCATTTTAATTAATTTTATCTTCCTGCCGTTCTTTTACACATACACACATGCGCCCGCCCACATACTCCCACACACACGCACGCACGCACGCACGCACGCACGCACGCACGCTCGCACGCACGCACGCACAACACACACAACACACTCGGCACATAATTTCGGGACCTATATTAAAAATCTGTGAAAAAAAAATTTGCATGTACCACTCATTTCAATGCATACGTAATTGAAGTACTTGAGTTTTGCGTATAAAAAACTTTGACGTTAAAGGGTTAACAACGGTGACAGACAGGTACATAAACGATCTGGAACTCAATGTACTCGTTAATTGACAAGAATTGTGTAAATGCGAGAGTTATATTTCATCTATATGTACATATATCAAACGTAGAAAAGAGTTATAAATGACGATGTAAGAGAGAAAGTGTGAGATCAATAACGCGTACGTACATATATGCCGTTCTAGACCTTATTCCGATAAATTATTTACAGGCTCGCTTTTATTTCGACGCGGTTTTGCTGAAACATCACACGACAACGCGACTTCACGCGGGAACGAAAAGCGATCAAGTCGGCGGATAAACTTTGCGTAATAGTAGTATATATATATTAATAGGCCATAATTCCTAGTCGTAAAGTATGAAAAGTATCAACAAATTTGAAAAATTTCACGCTCACACCCCCATTAGGCAATTTATAATTTTTCTTTCGTTATGCGAGAACGGACAGCTCGCGCTAAAAAGGACTGTGTCACTTACATTGCCTAGGAATTTGACTTTATAACAACGCGATCGCGCCACGGCTACACCCATTTAAGAAGATTCCCGTTTTTCTTGACTAAAGGCGAAGAAATTGATACAATTCAATTAATAATTGACAGAGATAACCAATTAATACGTATAGGATGGTCCTTGCGGCAGAGAAGGCGTAAACTCCTAAGATTCAAACGACATAAACTTTTTCTAATTTTAACATCACCGCGGACCATCCAGTACATTGATTGTAGTTACTTCTCGCGTGTATATTTCTTTAATCTTCGTTCTTCGTTCTTCTTAATTCTTCTTCTTCTTTCTTTGTGTAATACAATAGAAATTGTGTGTGTGTGTGTGTGTGTATGTGTATAACTTCTCGCACCAAATGCATTCGCGATGAAGTAGTTTCTTCTGTGTGTATTCTTCTCGTTTGCTTTCTATCCGTATCTGTACATTCGGCATTCGAGAGTGTACCACTTTGCAAGCACGATACTTTTTTTTTTTGTTTTTTTTTTTTTGTTTTAACGTATGCATTATTCGCCATTCCACACGCGCACACGTGGGGGGGGGGGGGATAGAATTTTTTTGTGTGCGCGCCTGAACTGAAGATTACCGAAATCTTAAATAGTTAACAGTAACATCGGCGTGAACAGTGTATAGAATGATCGAATGATGCACGAGAAGCGAGACCTCGGATGGATGTGTATCGGTATATTTTGTATAGCGTCAACGTCGGCGATGATTCGTCCCGACGACGATGCGCTGACGCAAAATCTTCGCGAACGAATCTCACATCTGAATCGAAACATTCGTCACAAGGCGCTTCTCGTAGGAGCGAAGTATGCACATAGTGTGTGTGGTTCACAGTTACAAAACTAACTAAATCTTACGAGATACAGTGAGCAATAATTCCAGATATGTACAGAAGTTATATGTTACAGACGCGATATAATATAAAGATATCTATCTATCTTTCTCTATCTTTCTCTCTCTCTCTCTCTTTCTCTCTCTCTCACTCTCTCTCTCTCTTTCACTCTCTCTCTTTCTCTCCCTCTGTCTCCTGACAACGCGAATGTGCATTCGCGGCAGGAATACTTCAGCTTTTCAACGTGCGACGATCGGTAATATCGTTCGATAATAACTTCCTCCCGTTTGACGATAGTGTGTGCGAATCGTCGATGAGTTTTTTTTTTTCCGCGCGGATTAATTATAATCTCGCAGGACACCACGGCCCAGTCAGTAGCGTGCAGCCTTCGTTTTTTGAAATTGTCTTAATAATTGATAGGCTACCCTGTTTCGTTATCATTATGAATGGTATCCTCTACGTCCCCATCCTCTGTACATCACGATGTGTTTTTTTTTTTTTCAGAACACGTTTTTTTCCCGGTCGCACTAATAAATCGAGGATCGATCGCGTTGTGGCTCGTTGCCGAGGAAACTCGAACGGAAGATTCGAAGGCCGACGTCAATTTATCGTTTTGGAAATTTTCCGACATATATACTATATATAAATTTCGTATTCAAGTATTTTTTATTCAATATATTTTTACGTGCGAGTTTTAAATTAAATAATACTTAAATTTTTTAGACAATTCATACATCTACATTTAATAATCCTGCCAATGCGCGTTTTGATATTTATTAAAAATTAAATATTTAAAAACTAAAAATTTTATCCGTAAAATTTTTTCTAATTATTCTGATGTACTTTCAAGATGGCATGTTATTTATTCGGAGAAAACGAGTGATTAAAACTTTATGGCACGAAAAAAAAGTTGTATATAAAAAAAAACACACAAATTCGAGAAACTCTCTTACAAACTCTTTTCTCGAACCTCTCGTGCGTCTTTCCCGATCCTCAGTAACGAGCTACGGTGTATCGAAATAGAAAGAACACGTACGCTGAGAACAGGATAATAACTTAACGCGTTTACGAGCGAAAAATAAGCGGCGATTCAGTCGCGCGTTTTNCNCGTTTTTTTTTTTTTTTTTTTTAAAGAAACGCGCGACGAAATCGCAACGCCTGAGGACATGGCGCGCCGCACTTGATTTACGATATACTTTTTATATTATGTATAATAATATAATCATTTATACCAATAACTATTTACACACGAAGCCGTCCCGTCCCGGGAACGAGCTTATTTCAAATAGAATTCGCTTTCGCGTAGTGCCGTCCAACTATAGGCCCTATGCTCATATTGACAACAGGTGTATAATATATTTATATATATATATATATATATATATTTATATAATATACCTAATGATTTTTCGCTATCTATTTTACAAATAACGAGCAACCGCAAAACACACGGAGTCGTTTTCCTCGCGCGGACTCGCGCTAATGTTTTTACCCGTCCGCCGCACGTGGAACTTGAGGCCGGAGGAAACGCGAAATCACGAACTTATCGCAACTTCTCGTAATCGTCGCTACGCGATAAGTCACGTGACCGCCGCAACGTCGTCGTTATCCTTAAACGTGCGCCCTTAATCCGCGGATGCTGTACGAAGGAACATCCCTTACAAGCTAATCTCTCTTCCCTCTCTCTGTTTCTTATTTTTTTTTTTTTTTTTTTTCCTAACAAATACAAAAAGGCAGCGCGACACAGTAAACATCGAAGTGGCAGCCGAAGCGTTTCCGGCTATACAATAAATTTACGCTCGACATCCCTCGCGTTTATAGCTATAACGATATCTGACAACGCATGAAGCAAGCAAGATGTCGAAGCACATCTCGTATGTGGCATTACAATGAGAGAAACGCGGCCTCGGAGATAAAAATTTGTGTAAAGTTACTACGAAAGAAAAATTTTTTAAATTCTTTTCATTTTCACATCACATCATTTTTAATTCTCAAATACGACGATAAATTATTTTCAAAAGCTTGAGTAAACGCGGCCCGTTTGAGTAATATTAAAATCGTCGCGCGTTAAATAATTATCACTACAAGAACTACCGGTGGTGTATCCGTTACTTGTCTCGTCGTTGCATCCCCCTGCTAATGAGAGCGGTGTCAGTTAGAATTATATCAAGTTGTAAATGTCGAGCGTAAACTCGGCGTCTTGAGTGGCGTCTTTTACCCGAAATTCCCGGGAAAGCAGCATCTACGGTAAAGCTCTCAGCCTTAAAAGGATCTTCGGCGTTCCGCGAGAATAAATCGCGTTGTCGATCGCGCCGACGTGAATCCTTCCCCGGATGTGTGCGAATTCGGCTACCACCGTGACAGCAACAATTCGCGACGTGATTCGTTCGGATCGTTCGTCTCTCGTCGCATTATCCGCTCGAGCGAGTCTTATTAAACGCTTATTATATAGAAGATCTAAAGTACGTCAATAGAAGATTGTCGATACCGAGTGGTCTGTTTTCGCCACCGACCGAAGAGAGCACCTTCGATCCACGAACCCAACCAACATCGCTCCCTCTCCACCTCCCCTCTTTTCACGAATCTCCTTCGAGCACATTATACTTTCCCTCTTGCATAGCGCTCTTTTCTCCTCTTACCCTAAATCTAATGTTATTGACCCGAAAAAGAGAGTGCATTCGATCCCCTTCGATATCGGCGTCCTTTCCGCACCGGACGTCCCTTTCACGCGTCATCCTCACTGCCGCAACGAGAGATGGCGGTTCGATTTCGAATGCGGTCCGAGCGCAAAGCGTATCATTACCACTAACGAGATTCTCCGTGACTCACGCTGTCACGTCAATATACTTTCTTTTTTATTCGAACGATGAAGAGATAAAATCTTTCTTTTCACACGCTCACTTGTCAACAAAATCGAGTTAAACAACAGTGGAGGACGTCTTACGATCATTGCTCGATGAAGCTTCAGGCAGACTCCACGCGCCGAACGTTTCTTCCTCCCAATCACGGCTCTTGGGGGTATAATCCATTTCTTGATAAGTGGCCGCGGTCAATCCGTCCCGAACGTGTCCCGAAATTACCGGTCTCAGAATATCTACTGTGCTGCTATGTGCCGTTCCCCCGTAATCCCGTCTCTTCGTCAGCAACCTCGTCGTGACGTCCGGTCGGGAGTGTCTCAAAATTGAGTCCGATTCCCACGGGCTGCTCGAAGATCTGGACCAGATTCTGGACGCGTAGATCGAATCCTCGCGCCTATCTCGCAGATGATAATGATACCGCTGCCGAATCCTTTCGTCAATTCGTCTGCTGATCTCGTGCTGCAGATCCGCGTGACGTTGCCGCACGAGCTCCTGATGATCCTTGCTGGCTCTTCGCAGCCTTTGAAGCATCAGATCGATGTACTTAAGCGCTTCGCCATTCTCGAGTATTCGTTGTGCCCGATCCGTGACCTCGCCGTGATCGCCGTCGCTGCCCCGTGATCTTCGCCCGAGAAGTCGCTCGCATTCCCTGTAGCGTCGTTCCGTGTCGCGAGCGTAGCGAGTCTCGTCGTCGTAACAATATCGTTCCGATACGTCAGCGAGACGTCGCGAGTCGCCGCCGTAAGCGGTCGTCGATCCTGACGTCGCGCTCGAACGTACGGAACTGAGCGAATAGCGGGGCATCTCGAGGAGAACACGGCCGTGTTCGAGAGTGGTTTCAGTTAGGCCCGAATATCGACGGTTCTAATTCGGATAAATCCCCTGGCCTCATACGTGCGTCGCTAACGTACCCACCGCGGAAGTACGCTTCACCGTCGCCATGCCGCCGTTCGGACCTCCGGTGATGTAGTGCGCCGACAGCGGGGCCTGTGAAACAGAAACAAAAAACAAAAAAAAAAAAGAATGCGGGGCTTCTGAGTCGCGGCTGTCAGACTGCGAGTTTAATCCCCGAGCGCCGTTAAAATACTTCTACAAATATCACTTTGCTCCTACTTCGCCACATTTCCCTTGGAATTATAAGAAAATGTTTATTTTTCTTGGCATTAACTCACCGATATGTCTGAATGTTTAATTTAAGTATTTTCGTGCTTTTTAAAAGAAAGAAACTTAACGCTCTCTGCAGAATATGCGCGCGCGTACATGACTATTTGTATAGATTCGAGAGGAGATGGTACAGAATAACTGTTTGATTCTTTTTATCGTTGCTCGAGATGAAAATGTCCGGAGAAAAATGTCAAAGTAGGAATGAATTATTTGCAGATTCTTATAGTCTCTCATTTTTCGCGAGAATGAGAACGAAGAAATGAGAAAGAAAGAATGAGAAAAAAAAAAGAAAGAAAAGAGAAAGAGAAATATTAATTATAATAATATATAGCCTTTTTATATTCTCTTTCTTTTCTATCTCGTGATATAAATCTTGGCGCGCTTATTGGTTCGTACAGTCACATTTGAACGTTTATTAATTAATATTTCTCCGATATATATAATGTTACAATAATATGTACATAACATTCGCATTTAATTATATCAGTTCTTTAGAAATGTGAAATATAAATGTTTCAGTTAATATTTTCACCTGTATCCATTAAGCTATAAAGCTTGAAATAGCACAAGAATTGAATTATTCAATATGAAAAACACTAAGCGCGAGTAATATGCGAACGAAAAAATCGCACAAGCCGTATTTTTTCTCATTTTGGAAAATAAAAGAATTTGTGAAACTACGTAATGTAAATTTCATCCGTTATAGCGTTTTCTCTGCTGACATGAAGAGAAAAATCGGAAATATTTCATGTTGATAATTATGTAGCGCTCCCTTCCCTGTAATGTGCAAACCTGTTTTAGTGACAGTATGCACTATTATTTTGCTCAATAGTTCGCATACGGTTTATTATTCGTATTTTTTCATTCTTTCGTCCGAATTGTAATTGTGAACGTCTGGTTAAACGCAAATAAATAATAATACATATGAAAATAACATATCGAATGACATAAAAAGGTACAAAAGTGGATTTGAAAATATAAACCTTTCGGAATTTAATGAAGATTGAAAAAAATCAGAAAAAAGAACTCACACACAATTTAAGCTTTTATAATTTCAGAAACATAGAATCCATACTTCTAACTGGAGAATTCACGATATACTCATACATTTTTTAGTACTATGCATTTTTAGCTTTATTTTACTAATTCAGAGTATCAAGCAAAGTTTATTTATCGAACTAAATGAAATTTACTTCATTATCATTACATTTTTATACTTTCAATTTTTGTGGAGCATTAATTTTTTTTTTACATTTCGCGAAAGACAGCAAAACAATTCACGGAGCGGGAAATAGGTGCGACTGGATTTGGAATGGCCGTATATACGTGAAAAAGGATTAGCGTTGCGCAAAATAAAAAGTAGCGCGCGCGCAGTTGCAATGGCTATGCAATATTGACAGTTTGCACCCGACCTACTCCAAGTTGCACACGAAGCTCCGCAACACTCCGGCGTAACTACGTTTAGGAATTTGACATACATTCACCATTGTACCAACCTGCGGGCCAGCGCCGTTCAAGGTATTCAAGCTATTCATTCTCATTGCCTGCGTGTACGGCGGCGGTGCCGGCGTGACTCCCGGCACGGCTGTGTGCGGCGCGTGTCGGAGCTGCTCGGCCGCTGACATTCTATATTTGTTTGTAAGAAAGACACGCAGAGTTAGTGACGGGAAATCGGATTTTTTTTTCTTGCGTTGGAATTCAAATCAAAAAGAGAGAAAGAGAGAGAGAGAGAGAGAGAGGAAAGGAAGCAGTGAGAAATACAGAGATACAAATAGCGACTGTAGCGTATATCTGCAATGTGACCCACAATCGCGTTGTAACGTTTCGAGCGTACACCATGAATGTTTAACATTCTCGCTACGTGAACGTCCTCGTGTCATGAAATTGAAAGCGAACTACTTCAAAAGAGCGTATTTCAAAGTTTCGATTTCGCTACAGGTTCGTCTCGTTGCGAAACGACGTGTCTCCACGAATTTCCGTTACACCCTTCTCCGTTCCGCTCGACGAGAAGGTATATCGGACCAGAGAATTCTCGCGCATTGACAGTCGGTTACAGCTTCTGTTCTATAACTACGTTATAACCGCGAATCTGCCCGAGTCGAAATTTTGACTCTCTGATGAACCTCTCATTCTACTATATATAGGAGTTACGATAGTAAAGTAGGTTCAATTGCAAGGATAAAATTTGCTCCTACTTTCAACCTAAAAGTGTCACAAATTTCCATTTTCTCCAAGTTAG